AGTCCTGCGTCCAGCTCTGGAGCCCTCAGCACAGGAAAGACACGGACCTGTTGGAGAGGGTCCAGAGGAGGGTCATAAAAATGATCAGAGGGAGGGAAGACCTCTCCTGTGAAGAAAGGCTGAGCGGGTTGGGGTTGTTCAGCCTAGAGAAGAGAAGGCTTCGGGGAGACCTTATTGCAGCCTATCAATACTTAAAAGGGGGCTTATATGGCAGCAAACTTTTTAGCAGAGCAGTCCCCCTTTTTTGCGACAGGACAAGGGGGAATGGCTTTAAACTAAAGGGGAGTAGATTTAGACTAGATATAAGGAAGACATTTTTTGCACTGAGTGTGGTGAAACACTTGCACAGGTTGCCCAGAGAGGTGGTGGACGCCCCATCCCTGGAAACGTTCAAGGTCAGGTTGGACGGGGCTCTGAGCAACCTGATCTAGTTGAAGATGTCCCTGCCCATGGCAGGGGAGTTGGACTAGATGACCTTTAGAGGTCCCTTCCAACCCAAACTATTCATGATTCTAAGATATCCACCCTATTCATCAAAACAGAGTAAGTTTTGCTCCTAGATCTAAAGAAATGTAGCGATTTTTTTTTTTTTTGGCCACTATAGATGCTAGAATATTTGACAATGACACCAGCATTTACTGGTGTCATTCAAACAGCTGACTTAAAAGATTAAGACTTCTCATCTTTACCCAGGCCGCAAGATTTCTGTTGTACTTTCAACACAATCATATGTACAGCTTTACTGTCTGGCAGAGGAACACTGAGCAAACATGGCTGTGCAAGAAGAGATGGCTGTGAGAAGGCTTGATAGAAGAACATCAGGGCTGTGAGCATATTCTCCATCTTCTGGAAGATTGGCTGCCTGGACTCAGGTCCAGCTTAAATAATACAGGTGTCTGGCTTTGAGAAACCTCAGCAAGGTATGCCTATGAGCTTCTTTCAGCTAAGGTTCTCACCCTTGATCCCTGCCTGAGCTAGTGCAGCCGTGCCCATGCCTGGCCACGTACCCTGCTGATCCAAGTCCTCATCCTGACCTGCTCTGATCTTCCTGCTTAGGTACTGTGGGACTGTTCCTTTGTCAGCAAGGCCACTGCCCCTGCCTACCTTGTTGTGACTCAGCTTCCAGCTTGCTCTCCCTTTCAGAACAGCCTGCCCTTGCTGCTCCCTGACAAAGGGCCCACTCAGCTCACCTTGCTCATCTCTGCAGTCAGCAGAAAGACTGCTTGCCATTTACAAGCATGGCAAGAATCAATTCTGAAAACATGTGCAGGGTGTAGAAGCCTCTAGTGTCTGAAATGCTAAATGGCAGGGCGACTTAAGTTTTCTCACTTGTTAGTTTTATCCACATTCTTATCAAGCATCACATACCCCCCTACAGTCAGGCCTGCTTCCATGTTTGGTTTTTTTGGTCCCGTCCCGTCCACCCCCCACCCCCACCCAGATTTGGAACAGCCATAGGTAATTTTTGTGTCCTTCTTCCATGCTCCTACTTCTTTGCTCAGGCAGAGCCTGAACCCGTTCACTCCTAAAGCTGCTCCTGTCCAGTCTGCAGGCCATAACGCACTTGCAGAAGGCTAAGTAGGCTACTAGGATCTTGCTAGAGACATAAAGACCTTCAATCTGCAGGGCTTCCAAAGCAACAACAATTTGACAACTTAGAAGACTCATGACATTCTTTTCCCCAATATTACTTGTTTAATTACCATTTGCACCAGTACATCTTATGCTTTATATACATATATCTTTAATTTTTGCTTCTTCAGCTTTCCAAATACATAATATATTATCTCCAGAATACTAACTAAGACAATAAAGAAGAGGCTCCTAGTTAGTTGTTAATTGGTGCCATGAACTTCCTTGGTTTGGGGAACCGATACATAGTTGAAATGACAGGACCTCACAATGATTTGAGCAAAAAAAGAAAAAGAAAACAAAAAGCCAACCAGCAGTCCATGACTTCGCTAGCAGATTATAGCCACCCACAAATTCAGAGGAGGCAGGGAGTTTAAGTACAATGAGACTGCAGGAGGGACTATGAAGGCGGGGGAGGGGCAGCAGGGGGAACACCAAGAGAGCCAGGGGATCAGGATTAAGTGACTACTTAAAATACATCCAAGAGCAGTCTGGTCCCCACTTCCACAAGTGGAACTGCAGCAGCTTTAGAGCTATTTTCAAGAATTTTGCTTCCCAAAGGGATGGTCTAAGTGAAACTTTGTCTCCAAAATGCCCTCAGTGTAGTAAGACGACAAAAAAAGAACAAGAGACCCTTGCAAGTACAAGGTGCATAGAGCTAACTACTCTCTTTTAAAAGCCTCACCAGGAAATCTTTGCCCAAAGGGAAAAATTTACTTGCACAGGTGTGCTAGCAGACAGTATCCCAGTTACAAAAGCGTTGCTGCTGGTTGAGTGTTCAAAACAGGAAGAAGCCTTCCAGCGAAGTACCAAATCCCTAGTGTTCTAGTAACTGGGTACAGCTGTAGAAGAGTCACTGAGACCACCTTCCCAGCTAGTGTTTTGGCTTATCAGCTAGCACAGAGGGTAGCCCGCAGGCTTTGCCCAGAGTAATCAGCAGACTTACACCCCAGATCACATCCATAGCTGCTGAAGATGGAATAGTGTCCAGATCAAAGGGCCTTAGGAAACTCTCCCAAAGAGAACAGCAGAGAGTAGGGGGCTTGTACCTCTTTCTAACCCCCTAAACCACACAGAAAATAGAGGGGGTTTGGGGCATGTTAAAAATAAAAAAAATATCCAAGTTACAAAAACCAGCTCACATCCCCAGAAAGTTAGCGTCAGAAGAAAAGCCACAAGAAGGAACACAGGTGGGAGAGTTTCACTGCCACAGTTCTCAGGACTGGGCCTACTATACATTTCTTGCCCAAATGATAAGTGTCAGTTGAAAAGGGGAAGGAGATTGTCCCTTCACCAGAGAATAATCCACTGTCCCACCATAGTTCTTATTGTGGCATGGATATGCAATACTTGTAACACAGTGCCAAGTCACAACACAAGGCCAGGGCTCAGGATAGTGATGCAGGAACATGAAATGCTGAGTGGTGGGATTACCTGGTTGTCATCTAGTGCAAGTAACTACCAAATTATAAAAACAGTTTTGTTTTGTTTTAAAGCTATTTCCAGTTAAAACAGCTCAGTGACAATGAGGCCTTTGCATGGGGCAGGAGGGAGAAAGGAGTGAAAATGAGAGAAGTTCCTCCAGTGAACCTGCAAGCTAAACAAGGAGCCTCAAGATGGGGTGCCCACCTGGAGCTACAGCACAATGGCAGCAGGTCTACTCAAGGACTTGCATGACTGCTCCCACAAGAGCACAGGAACATCCAGCACTATCAAGAATTGCACCAAAGAGAGGAAGAGTAATGCGTGCATGGGGAGGTTCACTCCTCACCATGGATGTAATTAATCAAAAAGGGTTTTGTGTCGAGACAAGACCTATCTCCTTACAGCTTCCACTTACAAGCCGCAGCCAAATGCGGCTGCCCTCAGCACTGCAGGCCAAGCTGCAGAGACTTGAGTCACTATTGAAAGCAGCCACAAAAAGCAACAGTCCAACCAGAGAAAATTTAAAGGACAAGGAACCCAGAGGCACCTACCCAGCCTTCTCCTGTACCCACCTTCTTCAGGATTCTTGCTTTCCCTGTATGGAAAGATGGGGAAGAGAGCTAGGATGTACCATGTAACAGCCAAGTGGGTGGAAGAGAGGAGGCTACCTCTCTCCTCCTTGCCCACCTTGTGAGGAGTCAGTATGTTCTCTTTAGGTTCAGTGGTTTCACTGTGGGATCAAAAGTAGTAAGTTTTGACTGAAGTGAAGATCTGGTTTAAAAAGGAAGGATTGTCCCGATTTGTTTTTGATTGAAGACTAGAGAGGTTTGTGCCCCCTCTGATCCCATTTGGTGCCTCTAGAGCCTCTTGGTCATCAGTTTGTCCCATTCCACTGCTTTGACTATTCAGAACTGGACCCAGTTGGACTGCTGAGGAGCCTGATTGGGAACAGCACTGAAATAAAGAAAGGACAATCAAAGGAGCAGATCTAATAAGACTTCTTAACTTATGGCTCTTCCAGTGCCCCTCAGGACACTACACTTCTTGTGTGCAATTCCCTTCACCACAGTTTACCTGGATGCAGTGCTGAAGTCTCCCCAGAGGTCTGTGGTAGCTGATGCTGGTGCCTTGGATGCAGATGCAGGAGCATCTAAGTCTAATAGAATATCTAAGGCAGAAGGAAAAAAAACAAAAACAAAACAAAATCAAGCTAATCAAGACAAAAACCACAGGCATTTAAACTGTCACCTTACACAAACTGCTGGATGCAGGGGCAGAGAATCTTTGAAGTGACTCCAGCTCTCCCTTCAGAAGAAGGAAGTTAGACTTTTTAAGGATTTTGTTATAACAGCAGCTCCTTTTGCTGAATGTGCACTGAGCCTCCAGCTCCCACTACAAGGGTACATCATCTTCAAGAACTATTCGGTCTCCACGTAGCGTACCTACTGGCAGATTTGTGACGTATCACCTCTCCCAGTAGAAATAAGGCTCAGACTCAGCCCAAGCTCAGCAATCATAACAGTTGCCACCTTAACAGTACAAATCACACACTGGAGTCCAGCCCTGTTCAGAAGCTTGTGATTTCTTCTCACTCCAATCTGTGTACAGCACTGCTAAAGTCTCTGCCTTCACAAGAGTATCATCAGCTCTCCAGACACCTCTGTATGGTCACACTAAAAGTGTGTACAGCATACAGAAGACTGCAGCAACCTCTTTGTTACAGAATCACAGAATGGTTTGGGTTGGAAAGGACCTTCAAAGATCACCTAGTCCAACCCCCCTGCCCTGATCAGGGACATCTTTCACTAGATCAGGTTGCTCAAAGCCCTGTCCAATCTGGCCTTGAACACTTCCAATGATGGGGCATCCACAACTTCTCTGGGCAACCTGTCCCAGTGTTTCACCACCCGCAGCGTAAAAAATTTCTTCCTTACATCCAATGTAAATCCACTGTCTTTCAGTTTAAAACCATTGCCCCTTGTCCTATTCACTACAGGCGCTGGTATAAAGTCTTTCTCCATCTTGCTTACAAGACCCCTTTATACATTGAAAGGCTGCAATAAGGTCTCCCCAGAGCCTTCTCTTCTCCAGGCTGAACAACCCCAACTCTCTCAGCCTTTCTTCATAGGAGAGGTGTTCCATCTCCCTGATCATTTTCGTGGCCCTCCTCTGGACCCGCTCCAACAGGTCAAAGCACCTCTTGAGTGGCTTTGACTAGGGAGAGAGGAAGCTTTAGTACGAGCAGCAGAAAGAGGTGCAAAGTATAGTGGGATTGTGGGTGTAGTGGGTTACTTTAAAAATATGTATATAATTTTATATAATATATTTTATGATTTTATACATAAATAAAAATATATATCTTGAACTTCATACATACACACACATATATATATATGTGTGTGTATGTATGAAGTTCAAGATATATATTTTTATTTATGTATAAAATCATAAAATATATTATATAAAATTATATACATATTTTTAAAGTAACCCACTACACCCACAATCCCACTATACTTTGCACCTCTTTCTGCTGCTCGTACTAAAGCTTCCTCTCTCCCTAGTCAAAGCCACTCAAGAGGTGCTTTTTCTGCATCTTTCAACAACAATCACAAGTCTATCTACATTTTTCTGCAGAAAGCAAGTGACTGTGCAGTACTTTTCTGGACACCTTACACAGCTCTGCCAGTGCTCCCAAAGCACATGCAAGTTCAGAAAAATCCAACTATTTAAATTTCATACCCCCCTCTCCCCAAGATCGTTTCGACCAAGTCGCTTGGTTTCTCCTCTTGCAAGGAGAGGAGCTACAACGCTGTCCTCCTTGCAAGGAGAACAAGCAGGTTTTATTAAACAAGCATGGAGATCGTCAGGTCAAAGAGAGCAAAGCCCTCAGGACACATCATGTCTCACAGGGCACTGTTGGCACTAGATTGAACACTGGTTCCCTGAAGCAGGCCTCAGTCCTCTCTATGCACCTACTAGTGTCTGACAGACTGTTTGCTCTATGCTAATGTTTACCTGCACTGCTCACGTTAGTAGATTTCAGCACGGGTGGTGGTGTGACATGGTTGGCAATGGCTGTGGAAGAAGGGGGAGGGATAGGAGGGACTGCAATTTTGCCTCCTGGTGGGGGTGGCAGCAGGCTTAGGCCCCCTGATCCAGACACACGAGGCTTGGCTGCTCCTCCTTTCTTTGTCGTCATGTTCTGTACAAGAAGAAAGAACAGACCGCTTTTAGGCAGTCTCCATTGGCATATCCAGAGAAAGAAGCAGGGTAAACTGGGCTGCTTACCCCAATGTTCAGTTTGATGGTCTGCCCTTCCTTAAACCCTAAGTCTAATTTGGGACGTGTGTCAGCTTCCTGGGACTCCTTGGAGATCTCAGTCTCCTGCTTCACCCACCTAAAAAGAAGAGAGGAAGACATAAGAGCCTGTGGCAAAGGGAAACAGGGTTTCAGAAAAATGCATGGTTCCTCTCCCCACCCTGCCAAAGAACTACCTTGCTTTGACAAACCAGCTACCTCCCTACTCCCAGTGTAGTACAGCAAAAAGCTGGGACCACCACAAACCCAAGAGACTAACACTGCACCTGTAGCATCACAGGCCCCAAGCTTAAGACTTACAGATCTGACCCTGCAGGACTCTCAGCTTGCATGACAGTTGGCAGCAGACTCAAGTGACCCTGATGGAGCCAGAGCAGGGCTTCATGTCCATCCCAAGGAAGCCTACACTAAATGAACATGCACCACCACCCGCCATGTTCTACAGGCCAGAGGAAAAACAGCATTCCAGAAAAGCACAACTCACTTGAAGTGATCCTGCAAAGAGACGTTGAAGTCAAAGGCATCACCACGATCCGTGAAACCAATGCCTATAAAAGCACTTCGTCCTAGCAAGGAGACAGGAGGAGTCATTGGAGGTGCCCTGCAAATGGGCCCTTGTGTTCATTCACTCCAAAATCCTTCTGCTTCTCCTAAACCACTCTGTACTACCTCCCTCTGACACACCTGCAGCTGGACACCAGCAGCTCACAGCAGTTCGTTGTTCCTAGCCTTCAGGATGCACCCTTCTTCCCATGTGGCACTCTCAGAAACTGAACGCTCATTCCCAGCCCCTGGACTGTGTGCCATGTAGAGAACCCTCCTCTGTTAACCTTGCCTTCCTACCTCTCCAGGCACACTACCCAGCCTTTTCAGCACTCCCAACACCATTTCAATCCACCTGGCATACACCCAGCTCCATCAGGCTAAGTCTCCTCCACCCCTAGCACTTGGCACATACGTGACCCCTCAACTCACCAGTCCCATCCTGAATTCGAATCACAAAATAGCGGCTAGAATCCGCCACAGTTTCTACTGCAATGCCAGGGTATTGATCTATAGGAGCCTGGGCGAAGAGTTCTCCTGCAGACAAAGAATCAGGTGTTAAGGAGAGCAACCTCTTGCTAAAGCGTGGCCAGGGCTGCCATGCACAGCTCTGAGCAGGCTTAGAAGCACAGGCTCATAAGCAGCAATCATTGTCACAGTCTGCCACAGCCTTTCCCTTACCTGAAACCTTATCCTCCAGTTTTATGTATGCAGTTTTGCCTTTGGAGGTGACACGAAGCCGCCCTGTCCAGTCCGGATGGTCCAGTTTCCAGTCAGATGCCCTGAAAAGAAAAGCAACTGCTCACTGACGATACATCAACCCCTCCACTTCTGCCCAACCATCTCGGCAAAAGTCTCTGCTCCCAAACCTTCAACACCTGCAGCTGCCTTATCCCACTTCTCTCCCCAAACAATATATGATGTCTCAGCTCCTCTCCATTGCTGCCAATCAACACACATGGTTCTGACCAGCCTCTCTTTCCTCTGGGTAAAGGGAAATAGATACAGTCCGGAAAACATCAACTCTGTCTTTACCTTTATAAGCTTGCAGAAGAGGGGAGACTGAAATCCAGAAACTCACTTGAAACAGTAAACCCAAAAGCAACTAGTAAGTGAATTGTGAGCATCACAAAGACCCCAAAAATTAATTAAAGCATGCTGAAAAGCCACTCCGTTATTCTACACTGGTGATGTAAAATAACGTCATGTACCTCTGAACTTAGAGCCAGCTAGCTTACACTAGGTAAAACATCATACACACAGACATCTTGACTAGCCCATCAAACTCTTTGCTACAGACTGTTGTGAAGGGAAAAAAGAAAAAAAAAAAAAGAGAAGAAATACCCCAAGCGCAGCATCCACAGCAGCAAGAGTTTGCCAAGTTCAGCGAGTACCACCAACACCCATCAGTGCCGCAGCGCACAAACCCATTTCTCCTGAAGTCTGTGGGCACAGCTTACAAAGTCACACTCCACTAGTTTTAGCTAAAGAGAGGGAAGGCATTTCTAACTCCTGGTCCTGCAATCTCTTCTTAAGAATAATGCTGAACTCCTTCTGGCTTCCTCCCGGCTACTGCGAGAGCCAACAGGCCAAATTCAACACGCCGTTATACCACATCAGACTCGTGCCCCAGGGAAGCAGGCAAACTGGGAGCACAGGTCAGCTCTGCCTGGAAGAGCAAGTTGCTCAGGTGCCCTCACCTCCTGCACATGATTAACAGCGCAGCCCCCGCTCCTCTACAGCACGGAGCGAACGCTCCCGCTTTTCGGCACAGATCACCTAGAAGAGGCGACTCAAGCCGGTACATCCCCCAGAGCTGCAGCCGGTGGGGGCTACGGCCTCAGAGAACAGGCCTGACCTGCTTGCGGCCGCAGGCCACGGCCTCCCAAGGCCCCGCTTGGGGCGAGGACTCCCCTTCCCAGGCCCAACCCCTGGCTGCCCTGCCCGCCCTG